TGCTAGGGCAGCGTTCGGCTCGGAAAAAGTCATGGGGGCTTTGTGTTGGGGTCCAGAAACGGCCGCAAAGGGATGCCTTCGTCGTGCCCTCCGTGAGCCTCGAGGTACGGGACAAAGCCGGATGGGTAGTCTCGGAAATACAAAGGTGTTAAACTAGTGATGGGCATAATCGAGTGATCACTCGAGATACGAGATATTGGTCGTTTTCATCCCAGCGGCGCACAAATATGTTTGTATTAGTCATATATTACTTATAAGCGTAGCTAAAAAAAAAAAGCTCACGCACTTCAAAACCTAACCACTTTTTCGTTTTATTCTAAAAAAAAAAGGTTACGCAATCAGTGACTATTTGCAGTATGCACTAACATTTTGGGGTGCAACCGTAGGCTAATAATCACTCGAGTGGTGGGAGTAAACATCTCGAGTGATCTCAATAATCGAGTACCACTCGATTTTTCACTCGAAATCTCCCATCACTATGTTAAACAGAAATTTCCTAGGATTGATTCCCTTGTCCGTTTTGTCAGTGGCAGCTCGCGAGTTTAGAAATAGGGAGGTCAATTTTACTCAGTTAACACACCTTAAATGACTTTTATAACAAATAATAACAAATCGATCTGCTTTATCATTTTTTTTTTGGACTAAGCATCAGTAGAGCAGCTAACATTTCTTGTCTCATTGTATTTCTTAAAATACCTTCGTCCTTTTTGACAGATCAGTTGCCCCGTTTAATTACGACATACGCTGGGATTTTTGAAGGATTTTGTTTTCAAAATTCCAGAAGATGGCCAGATCAGTCGATCTTCATACATTTTCTTCTAAAATACTTGTAAAATACTACCTCTCAAAACTCAATCGACATGACCCAAATCAAATTTATAGCACTTGGGCATGAAAGTACAAGTCTTTACGAGTATTTTAGAAAAAAATGTATGAAGATCGGCTGAAATGTGGCCATCTTCTGGAATTTTGAAAAAAAAAAAATCCTCAAAAATCCCAGTGTGCGACATCGGAAATATACAGGTTGTCTCGAAATTCATGCAACAAAATTTGATCACAGATTCTCAAGACAAATTTAAGGGACCCGTATTTTTTCTTCTTGCCAACTGGCCCCCTCTTTCGGAGTTACAGCCCCCTGAAATCTGCCCCTAAGAAGTCTTTTTTATATCTCTAAACCATGTACGAGAATCACTAAATTTGGTGCACAGGGATTTTATGACATGTGGAATCTCACAGTGCTACATTTTTTGGCGAGAAACTCCCTTAAGACACATTTTCGTGGGCCCCCTGGTCTTTGGAACCAAAAAAATTTGGTCGCAAAGTTGATTTTTTTTTAATTATTAGTTAGCTCTAAAGCCATTGAATTTAGAAACTTTTTTGTCTCTTGATATTTGTTTCGTAAAACGCAATGTTTTTAAGAAAAATGGCGAATCAAGATATGTATTCGATAACATTTTGACATTTTTCTCGAAAACATTGCGATTTACGAAAAAAGTATAAAGAGACAAAAAGTTTCTAAATTTAATGGCTTTCTAGTGGACTGATAAATAATTTTTAAGAAATTTAAACATGCGACCAATTTTTTTTGGCTCCAAAGACAAGGGGGCCTACGAAAAATTGTCTTAAGGGGGTTCCCCGCCAAAAAACGTAGCACCATCAGATTCCACATGTCATAAAACCCAAAATTTAGTGATTCTCGTACAACAGGGTTCCGAGATATAAAAAAAAGATTATTCTTAGGGACGGACTTCAGGGGGCTGTAACTCCGAAAGAAGGGGCCACTTGGCAAAAATAAAAAATATGGGTCCCCTAAATTTGTCTCAAGAATCTATGACCAAATTTTGTTGCATGAATTTCGGGACACCCTGTATAGTTTTTACAATAAAAACGTAGTAAAATACAGAGTGCCCGTTCCAAACTTTACCACTAGATTCTACGACAAAAAATATTGGGGAAAAGTCATATACATAAAAATATTTTTAGCTTTACAGTGTTCCATTTCGCGTGGGCGCTACATAACTTTGCTATTTTAAATGGAACACCCTGTATATTATTGCGTTTTTGAATTCCTTGGTTAATATTAGGTAGAGCACATGATGTAAAACTTACCGTTTTCGAGATATTCAGTTGTTTTTGAAAAAAAATCACGATTTCAGCTCTCTCAATGAGACTATAGTAGGATCGTATTCGATGCAAAGTAGAGCAAAAAGTTGTCGGCCTTTTATCAAAGGAAAATCGTGTCATCATTTTTAGGAGGCGTAAGATAAATCATTTCAAATTTAAAATGAAATTCAATGTAAAATCTGAAATACCGCTGCATACGCATTGTGTTCTGGTAGTAGCTGTAGTCGCCCAGGTGCATCGAGTGTACGAACTGGTCGGTTATACGTCAAATACTAACCTGGCGAGCTTTGCCGTCAATTAGAGAGCGCTTCCAAAAAACAAGTAAACAACAGTGGCGCGTACAGAGGTAAAATGTAGTACATATGTGGAATTTAGGAAACGAATTGGATTTATAATAAATTACATTTAAAATAAATAGTTTATGAGAATAAAGGAATTTTTGTAGGAACAAGGGTGCCAGACCTGAACCGATCCCCTCGTCCCTTCATAATGTATAAAGAAATTATTCAATCTGTAAAACCCTTAAAAGCGTACTTCATTGGTTCCCTTGACAGGCAATGATTTATTACTTTGCATCGAATATGATCCTACTATAGATAGCATCTAAACCGTAACAGTTAGAAACCTGCAGTTTGCACAGTTCGTTTTGGCATAAATTACTATCTTGTTATATGTGAGCAAAACGTGTACGTTATTGAGACTCGGAAATACTGATGATACCTACATTTAATAATCTTACGAGTTGAGTTTAGAAAAGAACCTGATTTTTCTGGAAAACTGTTAGAGATAAGTATGGACAACCTTATGTCAGTTAAAAGGGCATTCAATTTTGCATTCACCCATGACAATTAACATGGGTCATTCATTCCATTTGAAAAAAGGCTTTTCAACTCGAAAATCGGGCTTATTTAGAAAAACATAAGAGAGTAATAATTTGTAGAAAATTGAAATACGAATCCGAAAATAGCATGGTTGTTACCGTAAAGCAGTGGCGTACTATTTTATTTAGAAAAATATGCCACCGATACCCTGTATCTCCGCCACTGGAGCATGTAAATTTTAGGAAAAGCCCTCAGATTTTGTTAATGTTTACATAAATGCATGTGCCCAATTTCAAATTATTTCACTTACCTACTAGTTTTTAAATTATTTAAAAAAATTTAAGATATTTTTTGAAGTTTAACACCCTGTATCTTTTTAACGAAGCGTTCTAGACAAAAACTTTATAGGAAAGACCCCTTAAAATTCATCAAAGAACGCGAGGTTTCATTTTTGGTCACCATATATGAATCACCCTGTATATTTTTAGTAGTAATTATTTTCGAGATATTCACAGTTAGATATGACGTACAAACCTCTGTTTCCCTAGTTTCACAAATTTTAAAGATTTTTCTTTAGAACTAGGGAAAAACCTGGCATCACTGACGAAGTCGCGTAGTAGGCGCGCCTCTATCGCATGTTTTTCGATTGTCAATGAGTAATTGATTAAACTGCGCCTCAGGGTGGCCGTGGTGGAGCTGCAGGCACAATTGTTTATTTTAATATAAAATGTCACGACAAACGTCTGCATTTACGGATTCAGCAGCTTGCGATAAGTAGTTTCCGTAACAATTCAACGTTTTCCAACATTTCAACCACATCATAAAATTAAAATAGGTTCAAAAATATGGGAATCGCATTTTTTCTATTTTCCTTTTGACTTCATTTACCCAAGTCGTAAAATAAAATAAAATACGCGTCGTGACTCCGTCAAATTAAAATTTCAAATCCAACAACAAATGCAGTAAGTGTTAGAATGTTTTACCAACGAAAAATCGTCTAATTTGAGACAAATCGCGCGATCTGGCAACAACGATCTCGGCGTAATTTGAAAAAATAGTATTTTCTGAAAACAGTTGGGCTTCGCAAGTCACTTTAATTCTTCCAACTAAACTTAAATGAAAAAATATATATTTTGAACATGAAAAATTAATACTGTGTAGTTATTTTTTAGTACAACTCCGTTTAAAAGCGTTTCAATCCGTCGGAGGACGAATTGGTGGCTGTTCTCTGGCGCAAACAGAACAACTGCCGATCGCCGTCTCTCTCGAGCAGGCCTCGTCCGCTCGACAGAGTACTTAAAATCAAATTACCTTTGCCTTCCGTTTCTATTGTTCTATGAGCGATTGTTTTTCAACGCCGACGATGACGGCACCGATATAAAAATTCTTTCGCAATTTATCACCTCGGTGCCTTGTCGAGAGGGCCGCATTTTCCTTACAACAAAGAAATACGCGATAAACGCGACACAGCGATAAACATGCTTCGCACAGATAGGGGAGTTTCCGTCAACGGCAAAGAAAATGGGAATGTACTTTAATATAATTTTGTGAAGGAATTAGTTGACTTAAATCGTGAATTTTTATTTTAATTTGAAATTTTAGACTGAAAGTCTAGCTTTCTACTAATACAATGTCTCCACGCCTTCCGCTAGAGGTCGCTACGGCCTCATCGATCATTGAAGGATATAGGCGAAACCATTGTTGTCAGATTGAGCGATTGGTCGCAAATTAGGCGATTTTTCGTTGCAAAACGTACTTGGAAAGGTATATTTGAGGTTTTACATCAAAGATATCAATTAAAATCGTGGTTTCGTGTGCTTCGAAGAAAAAAAGGTCATTAAAAAGAGGACCTGCGGATAAGGCTATTATTTCCGATTATGTGTAAATTTTCACTATACTTAAATTTAGGAATATCCTTTTGTATTGTTTTTTTTCGTAAATTGTCTCATATTTCTCAGCCCAACTTCGCTGTGACGTAATTAAAAAAAATTGGGCAACACCCTATCGCTTCAAACAGAAGAACGCGCCTAATCATCTCCTAATATCACTTTGCAGGTAGAAAACAATCAAACTGACCGACCAAGCAATCAAAATGAGCTCCCTCAACACGCTGCTGGAGGCAGCGAGGTTCCTGGAGCTGCAGGAGCAACAGCAGCAGCACCAGGCCACCGTGGATGCGGCCCTGGCCACCATGAAACCCATATCGACGGTGGCGGTGTCGCCGGCGGTGCCCCAGGTGGTGGCCGCCACCCACGGCACCGCCGCTAAGGTCGTAACGACCTCTCCCCAGGCGGTGGTCATCTCTTCCAACAGCATCACCTCCACCATCCTCCAGGGGCAGGCGCCCATCGCGTTTCCGTCAGTCACACAGGCGCAGGTAAGGGATGTTATCAATGTCTATGTACAGGGTGTTTCGGATCGACTCCGACTATTGCGCTACTTCCCGGTAGCGAAGCGGTTTCGATGAAAGTATTTTTTTTTGTAGAATCAAAAAGTACGCAATAAAATCGTTTTAGAGACCCCCAAATTCCGACTTCGAAAAAATTATGACAAACTATTCCTGTTCGCGACAAATCAAGACAACAATTAATAAAGTTATTTTGAAATACTTAAAAACAAAACGTTCTATTAGTTCTCATATTTTTTTTCTATTGTAATTCAGACAAATTCATCTTGTCATGTCAATTCATGTTATGAAATAAAAAAAAAGAAACAAAACTTCTAAAACAATTATCGTTTAGTAATTAAACAATTAGTTATAAAAAAACGGGGGAAATTAATTAAATAGTTGGAGCAACAATTTCACGGTCAATCATATCGGCATTTGGTCATTGGATTGACCGTCTTTCCATACATTTCATCAACTTTTTGCAATAATAATGCGCAATTTTCGAAAACTGATTTTTCCGCGTTCGATCTTTATTTTACAGTCAATAAATAGGTGAATATGACTTTAGAATTTAGATACCTTAAATTGTAAGTAATTTAATTGCCTACAAATAAAATAACTAACTTTCCGATAGGCAGTCTAGATTTTCGTGGGTAGTAAAAAAAATTGAAAAAGCACGTAAATTATTGAGTTAGTTTTTTAGACATTTTTAGTAGTGACGTCATATAGGTACGTGAAATAATAGGCAACACTATAGTGCATATTTCCCGATATTTTTACTAGATCGATTTTCGACCTTATGTACTTGGACATGTGCAAAAAAAATGACCTTAAATATCACGAAATTACACTTAGAGAAAAAAAAATTGTTACCTGGACTTTATAAGTGGAAATGGTAAAGGGGCTTATAATAAACGAAAAAAAATAAAATAAATGAGTGAGCAGGGGAGGCGGAGGGTTAATTGGGGGGGGGTTGAAAAGTTCTTAAAAATTGTATCATTGGGATTTTTGGGGAAAGTTGACGTCAAACAAAAAGGTATCCAATACAAAAGTTGTAGATCATGCAACAATCTACAATTTTTGTAGAGGAACTTGGTGAATGTATACCTTTCTGTGTTTTAAATAAAGTAATAAAAAAAATTGTTGGATATTTTGTGCGGTATCGACTTTTATACTTCATTCAATTTTGAAAGCGTTCAGAGCCGTACTCAGGAAATATTTTAAATGATAGCTAAAACAAGTTAAAAACTTTTTAAACGATTACAATAGTAATATCATCTAATTCAGAATTAAAAATGACTTTAGATTTGGTCAAAAAAATAGCAGCGACATATTTAAAAAAATTAACCTGATGATGGTCCCTCGAATGTAAAACGTCGAATTGCAAAAATGTTGACGCCATTGTATAGAGCGAAAAAAGTGGCATAGTAAATATGCAATTTATTTTAAAATTTCCTTTTCAAATAAAGCCAGAAAAAAAATTAAACAATTTTGCAATATTTCGGGTTTTTCCGGAAATCTCCGGAACTACCCGGAATTTTAAATCTTTCTAAACGGTATATCGTTAGGTATAAAATAAACAAAACTTTTTTCTAATCTGAGCCACCCCGTACCTCTTACCGTTTCCTAGATCCTAATGCTATCCCCAGGTTATTTTAAAAAGTGACTTCTACAAAAGTTGTAGATTTTTGCATGATCTACAAGGTTTGTATTGGATACTTCTTTGTTTGATGTCAATTTTCGCCAAAAATCTCAATGATACAATTTTTAACAACTTTCAATCCCCAATTTAACCCTCCGCCTCCCCTGCCTCACGCATTTATTAGTTTTTTTCGTTTATTATAAACCCCTTTACCATTTCCACTTACAAAAGTCCAGGTAACAATTTTTTTCCCCTCTAAATGAGTTATTTCCATGGGTGTACAATATTAGAACTATTTAAGAAGTTTCAAACCCTAAGTGACAAACTAAAAGAATTATAGAATTTATATTTTTAAATTTACAGAACAATATTGACTTTTATAGTAATTAATAGCTGTTTTACATTGACAATTCATTGATCGATTAATTCATGAAGTCGCTTCATCAAGAAATTGGACAAGTGTAATGCACCAAATCTGCTGTCAAATAACTTGATGAATTTATTCATCAAGTTCTTGACGAATTAGAGCAAGTTCTAATTTTCGTCGATTTCTTCGTGAAGTTCGGGAGTACCAACCCAACAGATTTCCACCCTCAGATCAGTAATGAGGTTAGGTTATTGGAATATGTAAATAATTGTGTGGCGTCGTACTAGTTTTGCATTGTTTTTACTGATTTGTTACTTACAAACACTAATATTTATATAATATGTGTCAGAACGGTACCGCTGTTGTATCACTACAATTATGAGTGGAAAGGTCACATTTTTGAAATTTATTTGCTTCTTTGATTCGTTGGTAGAACTGATTCATGCGTCAAAAAACTTGATAAAGTCTGTAGCAATATAAAACCACACTGTTTACCAATAAATTCGTGAATTAATTCATGAAGAACGTCGTCAATTTATTCATCAATAAATTGTCAATGTAAAACAGCTATAATAAATTAAAATTATAGCAATGAGCATGCGCATAATAAAATAATTTCATGTAGCCTCGCAACAGGATATCATTGTAGAAGAGTTTGATTATGGTTAAGAGTAAGTCTATAATAAACCACTTGAAGAAAAAAACACTCGATAAACACACTGACACAGCACAACACCAAGAAAAACAATAAAAATACTTAGTAGAACTAGAAAATGTCAAGACTAAACAAAGGAAGAGAAAATGCGCTAATGATGACAGCGATGATATTATCAACATGTTCTCACTTGCGTATGAGGCTATTCTTTCCGACTATGCGCATTAGGAATAACACGGCTAATGTTAAATTTTTACTTTATTTAAATTTAGGAATATTCTTTTCTATCGTTTTTGGTAGGTAAGTTTTAAGCACATTAGTGTATCTATTTTACAAAACACGTGTTGGTTGTTCTTAAATACTTCCAAATCCTTGTAAAAATAAATTAATTTGAAGTTGTTCATTTTTATAGTATCTATAATATAAATAGTACACAAGGGTCAGATTCGGTCTGTACAATTTCAACCATGACAATTTACTGTGGGTTGCCTAAATATGTGACGTCACACTAAAAGAATCTATTGAACAGCATGTGAGCACCTTTCAGTTTTCCCAAAACGGCTTCTTGTTCATGCGAATCAATGTCGAATTCGGAACGCACTCCTGTTGGACGTGACATCCCGCTTATTGCGTTCTATTTTGGTATTTTGGTTCCATTATAATTTATAGCCTGCAAATATAAACGTGCAAAAAATGTAGCGGTGGAAACTGTTTAATTTTGCCTGTTATTATTATTTTCGAGGTGTCCAGATTTATAAGTATACGAAGCTACTAACACAGTAAGTAAAAAAAGCAAATGAATGTCTAATAATTTTTATTGAATAACACTTCATAGCGCACGTGTTCGGAAACTACGCTACGATTATTTCGTATTTCTTTAATAATAAACACAAAAAAATTGCAGTAGTACGGACTAAGGACTAAGGGGTATAGAATAACGTGGTGTTATTGTATTTTCGAATGAAAACAATGCTAACGCGATTTTCCAAAAATCGAACCTAAAAAAAATCGTAGCAGGGTTAGGATTTGTAACTATGAGATAGTTACTAGCCTTGACAACACCAATAATGGAAAATTGTTTCAAATAATCAACTATTCGACATTTTAAAATTATTTGTCGTGATATAGCGTGTCCCGTTTCTTTCGGGCTTTGCCTAACTTTATTTTTTGAATTGAACACCTTGATAATATAGCGTTTGTAAATTGAATTTAAAGCCTACTTTGAAAAAAACCATATTGCGTCTAAAACGTACTGTTTCGGTGTTATTTCACGTTTTTTTTTTAAATTGCAGCTTTTTCGAAAATATAAAAATTCTCCAAAACTAACCAAAATAGAAAAATGCAGTTTCCACCAAACTTTTAAACGTGAAAAGACCTTTTTTGCATTACTTAGTTAACATTTGAAATAGAAAAATAGCTATTATGGGCATTAGAAGTTCTAAGTTTTGGATCATGGATAACTTGTTTTTTTTACTGTATTTTCAAAACTTTTTTAAATTAATATAATTTGTTCTGCCGAATAGTTGGTGAGATTTTTGATGTTTTTAGTGTTTATTCCAAATAATTTGCTACGTTTTTTTTTCCTTAACTTTTACGCAAATGATTTAATATAATCATTTTACATAAAAACGATGGCAAACTATTTTTCTAATATTGAATCATAAAAAATGCTAACTTCATTTGTTTTTTACGTTGCTCATAAGCGAGAACATCCTGTACGCAATAGATATTTGAAGATTATGTGAACACATTCCGTTAAACCATAAAAAAAATAAGTACCCAACCTGGTACCATACCACAGATCCGTAAACTTCCATCGTGTGCTCGCAGGTTGTGAAAAAGATCGACCAGGATGGCCAGGTGACCAGCACGACAGTGGCCCAGCAGGTGCCTCGCCACCGCATCCTGCACAACAGTTTTGACATCATGAACCCGCTAATCATAGACGAGACGAACGGCACGGAAACGAAACGGAAGCAGCCCCCTTTGGTGTTTAGGGCTGGCACAAGGGAAGTACACAACAAGCTGGAGAAGCACAGGAGGGCCCACCTGAAGGAGTGCTTCGACATACTGAAGAAGCAGCTGCCCTCCACCCAGGACGAGAAGAAGACGTCCAACCTGAGCATCCTCCATTCCGCCTTGCGGTAATCTTTTATTATTTATTTAAGATTGGAACAATTTGTTTTCGCGCGTTAAATACCATCATGAAGTTTAAAATTGCACTATACAGGGTGTTTCATAACTCTGTAAGTCATGAAAATTTCATTTGTTGTAAAAAAAAATTGTTAAAAATGAAAATTTGCCTATTCCTATTAATTAAAGTTTATCCGAATCCCTCTCGGCTTACAGCTACATCCAGACGCTCAAGAGGAAAGAACGAGAACTGGAACACGAGATGGAGAGGTTGGCCCGCGAAAAGATCAGCGCCCAGCAGCGCTTGGCCGTGCTGAAGAAGGAGATCTCGTCCCATTACGACAACGTCGACTTCTCGAAACTCCTGCCGGACGTCGTACCGTCCATGCAGAACGGAGGCGGTACCAGCAACTCCTTTTCGGAAGCAGTGACCACGGTCATCGACTCGAGGTGCGAACCGGTAACCACCAGCAGCTGTTCGGGTCAGCAGAACGGAGGCGGGGAAAAAGTGGCCATCCCCATCCTGGCTAAGGCGGCCATTCCCGTCGTCACGCAGACGATGGCCCCCATGAAAGAGGTAAGCGACTTTTGCTCTTCATTTTTTGATAGAAAAACAAGAAAGATAGTCAAAAACCAACAAGAGAAATGACTTGGACAAACTGGCAAATAATAATTATTAAAAAATCTATTCAATTTGGAAAATTACAAAACGTAATTATTAAATATCCCGAAAGTTCAAAAAATAAATAACAGAGGTTAACATGAAGTTCAAGCCACGATACTTTAATTAAGATGTTTCTGCGTTTTGAGGACTGCTTTTTTAAAAGGTCTCCTTTAAAAATGGAACTATCGTTTGCAATGTTTGCATTTTAATAGATTCTATTAGTCCAGTCACTGAAAGCGTAAATAACGTAAACGCTCCCAATTTTTTCGGATAGCATCGATTTTCCTGAAAATTTGCATACAAGCTTATCTGTCCCCCCACTTCAAAAGTTATATTGTCTAGATGTGTGCTTTTTTCTATTTGGGGGTGAAAACTACCCTTGTACGAAAAAAATGCGAAAATCACAGATTTACGTATTTTAAAGATTCAGTTCATGTTCAAATATGTTGGATAAAGTTCCTTTCATGTTTTTTAATATAATTTATGAAATTTAATTACTTTTCAACCCTTAAAAATCATTAAAAACTATCCTTCCATGAGGAAAAAATAGAAAAAATGTTTTTAACAGTTTAAAATATTCTTTTCTTTATTCTTAATATTTTTTTATTAAATTAATATCAAATATTATAAATTTTATTAAAATACTTACTCAAATCAGTTCACAAGTGCTCCAAAATACACAAAAATGATGGTAATTTACCCGCTCCGAAAATTTTACCGAAAAAATGCGATTAACTTTTTTTACCATAACTTTCGTAATTTTAAAGTTATAAATTTACTCAAAAACCCATTTTGTAGGGAATTTAAAGCACTTTAAGTTTTGGGATTTACAGTTTTTTTTGAGCCCTTCGATTTTTAGATTTGTAAGCTAAAAGGGCTTAGGAAAGGCAGTCTTGGAGCTTAGTTTTGAGCCTCTAATCTTTTTTTGATAACTTTGTTAGTTTTTGAAATATTTTGAAAAAAGCCGATTTTTTAAAAATTGAAATTTTATTCAAAAGTAAATATTTTTTTTAAATTTAGGCTTCTAAAATCGTTCAAATTCCCAGAATCTACTGTTAATACATAAATAAAGCAAATTGCAGAAGGAATACGTTAATTTTTTTTTTCCGTTGTCATTAATTTTAATACCCATTTTTTTTTCTCAAAAACCAAGACAATCATTTTACTTTGATTGTAACTTCATTAGTTTTCATGCTAACGACTTTTACCACCACTCAATTTAAAGGTCTTTTCAAGAACTGTAATAAGTGTTATATAAGTTTTTCTCGAAAAACCTTTAATTTTTCCGCTACAGGCCATTGAATGTTTCGATTATAGCTACCTTTGAAATTGACTTCAACTTCATAGTCATAACTCGAGTTCTATACCGCCTACAAAAATAAAAAAAGCAATCTTTTTGCTATTGAATTACCTTCATTTTTGCTTATGATCATTTTTTTTTATAAAACTTGTAGTTTTTTAGATATTCGCGAAAAATGGCTCAAAAACTTGCATTTTTGGACTAAAAACGAACATGTTTAGGCGCAAATAATTCAAAAAGTATTGACTGTACAAAAAATTCTTAAAAAACATTTTTTGCTTAGAATTCTATCGAATCGTGAAGTTATTTTTAATAAAAAAATCCTCACCCTCCAGAAGGGGTGGCATCCACCCCTAGGGTAAAAGCACACATCGGCACTATATAACTTTTGTTTCTTGGGCTATCTCCTAGCTACAGTTCAAATTTAACGTCAATCCATTCAATCCGAAAAAATTTGTAGCCAAAATGCTTCGGTGACTGGACTATATGAATCATTTTTAACTACAGTGCGTTGAGTGGGAGTCATTTTATATAGATACTTCCTTTGACCTTTAGAAACACATATCGATGGTTTATTTTTTCAAATTCTGTAATAAAAACTTGTTTTTTTAACCTTTTTTAAGTAAATTTCATACCCCGAAACATAGCCAATATGGCCTAAACTGACACCCTTTGCTTTGTCACCGTTGACCCGTACTATCTCCCTCCACTTGCACTGTAGATTGCCTACAATTCATGTATTTGTAATACATGAATATCAGTCATATTTGAATAAAAAAAAATTCCCTGTATATTTTATATAAACAAGGATAAAACGTATTATTCCAGGTATCCCAGCCGGTACAGACCACAGCGCTGTCCGTTCTTCCCATGACGTACCCCGTCAACCAGGGCCTGGTGCTGCAAAAGGTCGCGATCGTCCCCAAGGGCCTCGACGGGCTGGCCCCACTCGTGTCCACGCACTTCATCACGGCCCCCCAGCAGATCAACGGCAAGGTGGTGCCGCTCACCCAGTACCTGGTCAAGCCCGTGGTGGTGGTCAGCACCGCTTCGCCCCGCCCGAGCTAGTGGGGATGAACCGAACACAAAAGAACCCGATTAAGGCGCAAATGTAATACTTTAAGCGCAAATATACAAGTTTTCCGCTCTTCTGTGCGCAAAGGTATGCAATGCCGCGCGCGCGGTCCTCTGACTGAACTGAGAGTATCTAGTTTCCGAGATTAGGAAGCGCGTGCTCGTCGGGTACGCCTAGTATTAACTGAAAGAGAGTAGACGGTGTGACTGTATAAGGTTCAGTTCGCTGCCGAGTTTATTTTTGTAAGGTTTGAGTATCGCGGAGGGCTCCGGAGTCGAGGGGAACCCCGCCCATTCAATTCGTCAACGCTCGGACGCGCCAAAAGTAACATTCCACTGTGTAGCGACCAATGGGTATCTGAGTCAAAGTAGGCCTGTCCCTCGGGACGGCGTAGAATCTGTGATAAACGAATCAAACAAACAAAAAGTTACATCAATAGGCTATGAAAGTGCCTTCAAACGCTTTTAACCAAATTTTGGGCTTGCGGCGGCGGCGATTCTCCTCGACTCTCGAGCGGTACAGTGGTCGCTAGCTCGACTGTCCATATTAAGGCGTCGGGTGTAATTTTCCGGGCATTTCTTTCAGACACCCCGTACAACCAACAAAATTAAGTGATAAATACGATTTTAGTTCTTTCAACGCTGTTGAATCGCAATATTTCTGTGTACCTCGTAGGTACGGGTTGTCTGAGAAAAAAGGCCCGTGTACAAATCATTGAACTTTGCTTTCCCACACTCGTGACAATATAATTTTTTTTTAACGTTTTAAGTTTTTAAACCGAGATTCGTGTTTTGGTAATTTAAACAGCTACTCTTGCAGTTTATTAATTTATTAATTATAGGGTCATTCTTACCCAATATTTTAGATCTCCTATTAATTTTTATATTGATTTATTTTTTATCAATTGTAAATAAGTTATTATAGATAAGGAAGGTGTGCGTTAAAAACTTGTACATATTTATTTTAAGATGTAAATAAGAATTTATCAACTAAAATTATCCTTAAAATAGTTTTCTGTTCTATCTGTAAATAAATACATAAATATATACCCATATTATTTTGGGCCAAATAATGTATTAAATATAATAAGTTATTGAAATCATTTGTTGCATTTTATTTGCCATTTACCTCACTATGCACTCATCAATAGTATTCGGACCTTGAAATTTTGCACAACGATGACAAAAACTAACTTGAAGAGGTCGAAAATTGTTTTGCAGACTATCCGTAAGCAAAGTTTCGATAATGACGTTCTCGTTCCCCGATTAGTAATATACAAATCGCAAAAACATGAAAATGGCAAAGAAAACAATAATAGGATTGTAGATGGTTCAGTCTCACGTCGGCTAATCGCAACAGCAGTGCTATTTCCTTGACGTGATCCTAACTACCTATGTTTGAATCACAACCCATCAATATTTTGATCAAAATTTATCATTATTTTTACGTTGCTGGGAACTAAAATTCAGCTGCAATATGATATTTAACTATAACTATCTTAAAATTAACCATCAAAGTTCTTTGAAATTGGTTCATAGTGGACACAGAATACAGAAATTTCAAAATAAGTTATATTGCAAATCAGACACTAACCTCATTAAGTGTCGCCGCTGCTATTTCATCCCAAAGTCGTCTAATTTTGAAAAACCTGCACTATCACATTTTTTTCTATAAATTAACTGCACACAAACCAAAAAACTTTTATCACTTCGCAAAATAAATACACACGCGCAAAGATGGAGGAGCTTTAGAAAAGATCGTCCGCGATTGGTGAAAACGAGCTTCGCTCAATTGTTAAGAGCAATAGCAGGCGAGTTGATGTAAAAATATTATGTTTCTACTTTTTTTCTATATAACTTGTCTCATCAAGTAACTTTAGTCAGAAATAAGAATTGTTGTAATAGCATTTTTCTGTCAAAATACTGACATTTTTTGCCATTATTTGCTTCAAGTCCATATATAAACTGCATATTTCACATAATATCTTTTAAACATGTTCAAATTGCGAAAAACGGCAGTTCGAAGATGCAGGGAAAATCGTCGATTTGGCGAGAGGAGCAGCGATAAGCGGTTTAAATTTGAGGGAAATTCAAATATCACGTCAAATCGGGTTACGGTACGTAAAGCAAGGCCAATTTTCCCGGTTTTTTTACTACATGATTTTCAGATCCCTCCCGGGTTCTTACATCTTGGAGTAAGGTCGGAGAAGGTCCAGAGAAGTCCATGTAAGTACAAATTTCTTCTAAAAAGTGAAAAATGTACAGGTTAGAGCAATTCAATTTTCTAATTCTTGCTATTTTGTGTACAGTTAAGCAAAATTCCGACAAAGACTTCGTCTTCGCTAAAGGACTATTCGACGATAATTTAACCGGGAATTACACGAAACTGAGGCGTTCTGCTAGAATTTCTAAAAAACCTAAGATTGCCTATGATGATCTAACTGCCTCCGAGTACTATTACAAAGACTTAAAAAGTAGTCAAACTACAGAAGAACCGAAAAAGTACACCCGCGGATGTAACCGTATTGTAAGAAACAATTCCAAGAGTCTGTTCCGACAAATAAACGAGAGATGTGCTAGGGCTCAAACGAAGAACCCTTCCGACTTCACCTACCCGATAAGCGCAGTGATAGACCCTCACAGCAAGGTAGAATATTTCTACCCGAGCACCTTCTGCTGGGACCTCACCAAACAAGTTCTCGTGGACCTGACCCATAACGATTACCTCTTAGACTCCAAGCTGGCCGTAGCCGACGAGATCCGCGATATAAACCAACGACTCCAAGGGAAAATGAATCCCGGAAGCAGCACCCCCCAGAGAAACGACAAAATCGAAGCGAGAGACGAAGAGGAGGACTTCCCCTACGTCCCCAGACGCGAGTGGGTATACCAAACCCCGCCCAGGCAGAGGGTGGTGCTGCCAAAGGTGGAAGAGTGCGCCATCCAGCCGGCGGTGATCTGCACCGCCAGGAAACGGAGCAACATCTACGAGCTGCGCCCCAACTTAACAGTGGACCTGACGGCTTTCTCCAGCAGGGAGAACGTGGAGGTGGACGGGCGGTACATGAGGCACCTCGCGAGATTCGAGGAAGAGGACGAACAAATGGATTTAGGCGTGGAAAAATTTAACGGTTCAGATCAGGTGCGTCTGGCGGATGCCGGGGGCAACTTCTTTGCGGGGAGGAATGCCGGAAAGGAGGTTAGTGTTATTTTAGGTCTAAAATCGTTTTTACTTTGCTTGTTTCCAGTTTTAGGAAAAAAATTAATATCTTGTAACATTTATTGGCTGAAAAATGTAATTTCGGGAAAGTCGTCTTCTTTTCGTCATTACTGCAAAAATTATCGGCAAAATCTTTGAAATTGTGACCAAATTTATACGGCACGTTAATTCCAATGCAAATACAGTCCAATTTTTTTCCATGTGCCGCAGGTTGCTTATTCGAACACCCGCTCGACGGTGTCCGACCTCTTCGCCCAGGTCATCTCCCGACCTACCAAAACGGCGAAGATGTCTCGTGCTGACGGGTTTTTTGCCCGCAGAAACGAAGAGGATCCCGAAACCACCCCGATGGGCCCGAACTTGTTTCAGACCATCGAGGAGTTCGAACGGGACTTCACCTTCGTCGAGGACAACGGCACGTTCAAGATAGTCAACACGGTGGCTCCCAAGGGTAGGGACGGGTTCCAATTTAAGGTTAGGAAGAATCTGTTCAAGGGAACGGGCGAAAAGATGTTTAATTTCGACACGGAGGAGCCCAACATGTTTAATTTCTCAAAATTGAAGGATAACTAGGCTGGCCGACGTTTTGATTTTTTTTGTCCGTAGGATGTTAAAGATGGGTAACGTTTATTTTTCTGCGGTTGTGACGTTATTCGGGGGCTGGTCGGGACTTTTTACTGTGGAATAATTACAGGGTGTGATAATATAAACGTGCAATACGACCGCAATCATAGAGCTGGCCCGACGGGTACTTTATTTATTTTTTTACTACAATGGCTGTAAGCGAAAGCCGAAAACATTTGGCCCTGTCTGAAGAATTAATTTAGTCGTTGCGATCTCCTATTTATTTGAAATTCTATGTTTAAAGTTTTGTTGGTTCATTAAACTGAATTTTTGTCCTCGTAGCTTTAAGTTGGAGTTTATTTCATTGTTTTTGTTGTTTAGCTAAGATTATAACTTGTATTTCCCTTTTAAAGTTAATAAATTCGTTTTGATGAAGTATAGTTTTATTTTTGCTCAATTCGCAAAGCAAAACTCGTCAGGTTACGTATGCAACCAGTATTACCTCAGGGTGTATAGTGGGTTGCATATCGATAAAATCATATGTATTAGCATATTTTTCTAAATCCTGAATTTTTTTTTACATTTTATTTACAAATTGCTGGAAATCGACTCACGAAAAGTAATATTAATACTCCATTTGGTAGTAGAAACTATATTTAAATGATTAATTTAGAAACAAGGTATGACCACTAGAAACCAGTAATTCTTTCCAGGTGTATTGTATGTTGCATAAATTTCTTAAATAATGCAATACAGTGTGTCTATTTAAACGACCTTTTCAAATTTTAACTACTTATGCAGACCAAAGGGATGCACATTTGAGGATCATTAAACTTACGTACATCCAGAGGTGTGCGTTAGGGGAAATTCAAAGGGGATCGATTTTTCGGTATTTTTTATTAGCGAATAAAATACGGAAATGCTGATGGCTTAGTCTTAATCAGTATCATCGAAAATATACCCACGGCAAGTTTCATCCAAATCATATACAAGGTTGTGCAGAAAATTCATGAACTTAGAAAAACCAAATTTGGGACACGGTCTGAGTGTACCAAGAGCATTAATCGACAGTAAGTAGAGTTCAAGTGAACCATTTTAAAGAGACGATGCACAAATAAAATGTGACAGAGAATTTTTTAATCCGTGGCGGACTTAAAGATTTATTACTTTATTTTATGGGGAATTTAATTGTAACACTTTTTCAACTCTTGTTAATTTTCAAAAAAAAAAACACGAATAACTAATACAGTGAAAATCCGTTACAACGACCTTCGCGGGACTGTTTGTTTATGGTTGTTATAATCGATAGACGTAATAAGCAATTACGTATACAGGGTGTACCATTTAACACTCCTGCTGCCAATATCTCCGAAATGAAGAAATTTATTTTAGCTCCGGAATAGCTTCAAATTGTAGTTAGAACTGTTAGTTCAAATCTTTCTGTATAGATGGCGCGGCGATACTAAAAAATTTTTTGATCCCCGGAACGTGGAAATGCAGACCATCTGAAAGATCGTGAAATTTTGAGAAATGTTTGTAATATAAAATTTTTCCCTGTATTTACTTGTTTTCGGGATATGTCGACTTCGATATGCAATGTATGATGTAACAGGAAAATCTATTATTTTATCTAAATCACACCGAGACAAAATATTCTTTTAATATATTGTTATAATGACTTTATTCACACCACATACTAACCAACAAACAATAAATTATAAAAAAAACAAATGATCAACAACAGAAAAAAGATTTTATAATGGTAAATACTGTAACTAGTATAGTTAAATTGAAAGACGCAAGCTGATAAAACTATAATTATTGGAAAACTAATATGTGTCATCTGTCATTGTTTTATTTTAAACAAATGACATGAGCCACCTATGATTGCATTTTTTAATAACATTTGATAAAATGCGGTTCGTCTCTGCCCCTTATAAGATTTACCTTTTTACAGTTTTTTTTCTGTAATTGATCATTAGTTTTTTTTATAATTTATTGTTTGTTAGTATGTGATGTGAATAAAGCCATTATAACAATATTTTAAAAGAATAATAATGGATTCATTCATGGCCAACTTTTGAATTTTCGATGATTTCAAATAACACAGCCACAATAATAGACCGATCGAAATAACTCATTTAGAGGGAAAAAAATAGAAAATATTTACCTGGACTTTTATAAATAGAAATAGTAAAGGGGCTTATAATAAACGAAAAAAAAAAATAAATGCGCGAGCAGGGGCGGCTTAGGGTTGATTTGGGGGGGTTGAAAAGTTGTGAAAAATTGTATCATTGGGATTTCTGGGGAAAGTTGATGTCAAACAAAAAAGTATCCAATATAAAAGATGTAGATCATGCAAAAATCTACAACTTTTGTAGAGGTCACTTTTTAAGATAACCTCAACATTTCCGAGGAAAATGCGAAAAACAGGTTTTTTTTCTTATTTTTTTTTATTTCTCATTTCCACAAAAATAATTTAATTTTGACGAAACTTGGTGAAAGTATATCTTTCTTAAATAACCACAAATTTTTTTAGGTAAAAAAATCAAGAAGGATCCGAGATATTCATTTATTCCTATTTGAAACACTTTTTTTTTCAAAGAAAAATTCTGGTAAGAAAAATCATCGTACAGAGCTCAAAAATGCAAAAAAAAAATAAAAAATAACTTGCAACAATGAATTTTTCAGTAATTGTTGATAATTTGTTTAAATTACCGTAAAATGTAAAATATTGTACAAAAATAAAGTTTTTTTTGTATTTTTTCCGTACAATTGAATGGTGTAATCAGTTTTTGAATTTTTTTTTAAATTTAAACAAATTATCAACAATTACTGAAAAATTTATTCATTTTCAGCCATTTTTTATTTTTTTTGCAATTTTGAGCATGTTTTTGAACTGTGATTACAGATTTTTTTATTTCACCAAAAAGTATATGTCAAAACAAAAAAATGATTACCGGCAGAATTCTGTACGATGATTTTTTTAAGTAGAATTTTTATTTGAAAAAAAAGTGTTTCAGGCCGAATACCTCAGAAACTTCTAGATTTTTTTATCTAAAAATATTTGAGGTTATTTAAGACAGAGAAAGGTATACTTTCACCAAGTTTCGTCAAAATTAAATTATTTTTGCGGAAATAAGAAATAAAAAACGAAAAATCAGAAAAAACCTGTTTTTCGCATTTTTCTCGGAAATTTTGAGGTTAAGTTAAAAAGTGATTTCTACAAAAGTTGTAGATTTTTGCATGTTCTACAACTTTTGTATTGGATAATTTTTTGTTTGATGTCAACTTTCGCCAGAAATTGTAATGATACAATTTTTCACAACTTTTCAACCCTCCGCCACCCCTGCTAACGCATTTATTTTTTTTAAGTTTATTACAAGCCCTTTTACCATCTCCACTTAGAAAAGCCCAGGTAACAATTTTTTTTTTCCCCAAGTGTAATTTGGTTGGACTGTTATTAGTTATTCATGTTTTTGTTGAAAACGACAAAGTTTTTTTAAAACTAACAAGAGTAAGAAAAGTTTTAGAATTAAATTCGCCATAAAATAAAGTAATAAATTTTCAAGTGCGCCAACGGGTTAAAAAATTCCGTCACATTTTAATGGTGCATTGAACTCTACTTAGTGTCAATACACTCTCGGTACACTCACACCGTGTACCAAAGAGTGACCGCAAAAGTCGCCCGTTTTTCACAATTCACAGAGAACTAAAGGAATTAGATAAAAATATTTTTTTGGTCTTAAATTACTCGTCGTAAAAAATTAAGATGAGCATAGCTTTTAGTTCTTTGAAAATTTTCAAAAATCACCCCTATCTAGGGGTTGAAAAAACAAAAGGTAAATATAAAAATTATTATTGAATGATTCCTGATACAAAGAAAGATTTATTCTCATGACTGAAATAAACATGTTGAAATAGAAAATTCACCCTTGAGCACGTTCAGGGGGTGGAATTATCCCCAAAAATAGAGAATATCAGAAATAATTATAAAAATTCCAAAAAAAAATATATTCAGATAATTCACATGCTAATAGTTTTTATATCGACTGGTAATATTCAAATTCTTCATTTTTGGCATTTTTTCAACCCCTAAGGGCGACTTTTAAAATTTTCAAAATACTAAAAGCTATGTTCATTTCAGTTTTTTACGACAAGTAATTTCCGGCCAAAAACATATTTTAATGTATTTTTTTTTAATTCTCTGCGAATTGGGAAAAACGGGCAAAAATCACAGATTTTTTGCGGTCACTCTTTGGTTTTTCTAAGTTCAAGTATAACTGAAATATTGATTTTTTCGAAATTCGAAACCCCACTTAAAAGGCCTATAACTTCTCAAACATGCAGCTTAGTATAAAGATTTAATTGCCAGTGTTGCGAGAAACAACTACTTCGAGGGTTATTCGCCCCTACCGGCATTGAATTATACTCGTAACACCTAGGATCGTTCGTCAGTTTAACCCACCAGGCACAGACCGGTTTCGGACTTATTAGTCCTCATCAGTGTGTCATAGGTGAGACAACCGACGAACGATCCAGCTGTTTTGCGTCGTATCGTCATGACATATAAAGGTAAGTTGCGTTAAATCGCCATAATTTGGGTTCCCGTACGTGTCCCTGCTCCGTGTCGCAGAGTGGGAAATATTGGACAAAATTCTCGCCACTCGCCAATTTTCATCGTAATCTGAATTTTCATATTCCAGTGAGGTTTTTTCAAAAAAACCTTTTTTTTAATGCTTAGGGAGCGCCCCAACCTCAATGTCGAAGGAAAAATTTTTGAAATACGATGTTCAGTTGTAGAAAAAAATGTTTAAAAAGTATCTGCTATTAATAAAATTGATTATTATGACCCTTGATGATATATCTGATGTTTTTTCTTCAAAAACCTAACCTCAAAATTAATAATTCTAACCTAAAAGCCTTAAACGAAATTTACATTGGAAAAAGTTTTTTAAATGCCAAAAGTATGAAATAGATTCAAGAGAACCCTACGTAACATGTTATACCCAAACCATGAATTTGAATCTAAAAAACCTAACCTCAAAACCAACATTAATTAAGTTTAAACTTACTAAATTAAGGATTAATAAAAAAAAATGAAAAATATCTTTATTGTACAGAGATTCGATCAACAGTTTTTCCGAGAGCGCATACCTTGTGCCATACTGTACCAATAATCTGACACCTCAACCCAAGAACCTAACCTCAAAACTGGGAAGATTGTCAAATCAAATTATTAGAGTGAAAAAAATTGTCACAAAATTATTTTCTTTAATAAAAAGTATAAATGTATTTTTGTTGAGTGTTTACCATCGCGATCGGCAAAACTGAAAACATAACCCAAAGACCCTGAAATTTTGTTTAACTCGAATTTTTTGCTAGAAAAATTCCATTTCTTCGACATAGAGGTTGGGGCGCTCCCTAAGCATAAAAAAAGGGTTTTTCGAAAAAACCTCACCGGAATATGAAAACTCAGCTTACGAGATTAAAAAAAAAAATCACGAGACGATGAAAATTGGCGAGTGGCGAGAATTTTGTTCAATATTTCCCACTGTGTGTCAGTTCTTATGCGAAACACCCTGTATAAAAATAATTAAAACGATGCAGTTATCGTCTGTAATTCCTACAAGTGTACGACGGGTTGCATAGCTCAGCACGCTTCACGAAACACTCCCTCCCAAAACGAAAATGTTCCATGTCCCATGATTTGTACAACAGGACGAAAAATTACGACGGGAAATAAAACGACGGCTTTACAGAAACAATTAATTTATTTATATTTACTCTAACAGCTAAAATACTTCAGATTTAAATATATTTGTCATTTGTTAAACCAACAAGTCGAAACAAATATACCTACTTTATAAAAATACAAGTCCAAAGAAAAAGGATAACAATGATAAAAAAAATTCTCACCTGGCAGAATTGCTTTAGTCACATATACAATAAATATACATTACGCCCTAAACGGCGATCCTAACAGCGATGTCGGCTCTAGAAGATGTCGCGCACAGGGCGTTCCGGGAAACGAAACGATTCACAGCCAAAAAATACGACACGAGAACGACAAACGATTTCAATTCATCATCACGAGGAATACTGGAGAACTTTCGTTGTTTTTTCAACCGGAACGACGGAACGCCCTGTATATAGGCTTTGGTGCGGTGCGCGTGTCAAGTCGCTACTCCGACAACACTAAAAAAAAAGTGTGAACCAGACCGAAAAGATTTCCTAGTTTTTTCTTTTATTAAAAAAAAGAAGTATAATTGTAGATCCTTAAGTCCTAACCTTACGACTAACTTTGTACATACAATATAGGAAAAACCGTAACGAAAGACAGCTAGTGAGACTTTCTTGTAGAGAATATGTGCAAAAACGTTCAAAATATAGTTCTCTCGGAATTGACTGGGTTTTCCTTACACTTGAAAGTTCGCTGCGGGTCAACGAGTATAGGGAAAACGGCGGCTGACCCGTAACTTGAAACTACTTCTCAACGGCAAGTGATTCGTGCTTGGCAAATACAAACGCGTAGTGAATTTTTACCGGTAGTTGTAAAAATCGCACAAACGTTCACTTCGGTACACTACGCGTACAAAATCATTGATAACGAGCCCCGAAAAGCAACGCAATACTGTATTTGGTCATAAAAAGGACTAAAATATAAAAAATTACAAAACGACACAAAAGAATCGCCTTGATTCATACAAGACTCTGTATAAAGTTACTATCGATATATTTTTGGACTCTGCTAGTGTCTTTTACAAACAAAGTTGCCCCAAATCCCATCAATTCAAGACACTCACAAATTCGATCGATTTCTTGTACATTTTTACCCCCGAAAAGCACCAAAACTGTCGCCCCGTGGCACGAAATCGTAACAGCTCTGAGATCGAAACTCAATTATTCCCGAACAAACAACCCCGCGCCGTTTTCCCCGATACCCCGTCGGCAGTGCGAAGCGCCGGAGCGGCAACGTCCCCGGAAACTAAGCGTAGTGATCGTGAACCTAAAAATTATACCTGACACTCCCGATAATTAAAATAAACGAAACTAGACGCCTCCCCGGCGGGGAGGAACACTTCCCTGATCGTCTCTCGTCGCCTTTACATCACCCGAAAAAATATTTTACTTGGAACTGAGACCTCGCGAGGAATTCACAAAATGCTTCGGTAAACGGCACCCGTCCGTCGGAATTACAGGATGGCGGCGTCGATGGAGCCCCGGCTCGGGATGAGGGGGCTCAGGGTGCCGGCCACCTTCTGGCCGCGCTCCATCTCGTAGTGCGTGTCCAAGGGGATGCCTGGAAAACAAACGAGAGTACGTTATTCGATGAGTAACGTGGATCGTCGCAACGTGCACTCACTCGTTTCCACTTGGGTCTTGGAAGGTATGAAGGAGGCAACGAACAGGGCACAAATGACTAGAAAAGCTCCGAAAACGAAAGGCGGGCCAGGCACCAGCTGCAAAAAAAACAATTCCATTAAAAACCGCACAAAATCCAACAAACAAAAAAAATAATCGTGTACCTGCGTGTACGTGTCGAAGGTAGGAGTGGAATGTGTGGCGTTGTGGCTGTTCTCCCCGTCGTTAAGGTCGACGTGGAACATGAAGAAGATCAGCCCGAACATGGCGGGCCCCAGACCGTTGCAGAGACCTCTCATACCCGTAACCATTCCTAAAGGAAAAACAAAAACGTATTTGAGCGGGTGTTACTGGAAAACGCCCTGAACCGCTTACCCTGCACGACCCCCTGCCTGTCGGCGGTGCTGTGGACCGAGACGAACGCCGATATGGCGGGATAAGTTATGGAACTCATGGAGGCAAGAATGCCGGCACCCCACATCATCCACGTCGTGGTGCCGAAGCCGTACCACAGCAGCTGGAGCATCTCGAACAGCAGTCCCAACATGATGGTGTGCTTGGAGCCCAGATTTTTTATCAAAATGCCTGCGCGAGAACGATTTTTATTACCACGAGGCGAACTAATCAGTAAACAAAACCTGTTATTCTTAAAATAAGGCACGTACCCAAGCACAGCTGCGTTATGACGGCCAGTAGCCCCACCAGGCCCACGAACACGGCCACCATGGGAGCGCTCCAGCCCATGACGAGCTTGAGGTAGACGAAAATGCAACTGTACTGTCCGGCCTCGGGTAGGTACGATAAGAACACCGCTATGCACAGCAGGAGGATCGTCGGGTCCTGTCCTACGTTCCTCAGGGAGGAGAACGGGTCAGCCTGCTCCCAGCTGATGGGGGACACCCGTACCTTCTCCGAGAGGCTCTCCGGCACCGCCACCAGGATGAAGAAGACGTCTAGGATGGCCACAGCCGTAGCCAGGGCTACCACCAGGGACAAAGACCATCTGCAACAGGAGGAATGTGTCAAATTGTCATAGAAAATAGACGAAACCGATTTGACTACAATGTTTTTTTTTTAATTTTCGTTTTTAGGGAAAGACAAATGTGAAAAGTTATCCGGAAAATTGGAAAATTCTGGAAAAACTAAGGCGGTTTTTTCCTATGGCATTTTTGTATGAACTGAAGACCGTAACTCACGATTCGAATGATGGATATGCGTAATTATTTTTTTGTTGTCTTCCTGGAAATGTTTTCAGGAAAAAAAAATTCGGTACAATTACAAAGTCAGAAAATTTGAGAAAAATGTGAAATTAATAATTATTGTATGTACTCTCGATCATAACTGATGGTAGGAACGACATATTTGGTGATTCTTTTTTTTATTTGTTCGTTACGCTCCCAGAAATTGAATGTTTTCAATTGAAAAAAATATCTGGAGAAAAATGTGAAAAAAGCATTCCAGCCTAAATTAAAAAATTAAAATTATAAACAAATGTAGTTATTTTATTTCTATTTCAATTTATTTTGCTACCTGTGTAAATACTGTTACGAAATCAATCGGTTACATAGTGACAAAAAATTGATTCAGTTGTTTATTTTCAGTTGGAAGAAAGCTATCTTGGAAACAAAGAGGTGTAGGTGATTTTTCAATTTTTTTTAATTAGCGTAAAACTAAGCTATATTTAATGCAAAAAGAGCGAATTCCCGAGCGGCATTGTTCGTATAAAGGGCAACTTAATTTCAACTTTTTGAAATTTTTCTTTTTCGATATGTTTCTTTGGATCTATTAGAACCTACATCTACGATATTAACTTCTACAATTAACGTTTAATAATTAAACAATTAGTTACAAAATAAACGAACGAGATTAATTAACAAATACTTGCAGCAACAATTTCACGGTCAATCAAATCGGCCTTTGGCAGACATGTTGGTCATTGGATTGACCGTCTTTTCCATAAATTTCATCAACATCCATCCCGTTTTGCAATAATAATGCGGAATTTTCGTAAACTGATTTTTCCGCATGCAACCTTTCGCGCCAAATTTAGTGTTCGGGGGTTTTCGAGAGCACTGATCACGAATCCGATATCAGATTTACAAAATTCGTTTTTAAAAATTTAATCAATTAGGTACCTATTGTACTTTATTATCTGAGATTAGGCAGAAAACCCGTGAATAGACATTTTGCAGAAAAAAGAGCAAGATATAGCCGAAAAAAGGAAGGTTAAAACATGATGGGGTAAATAAAAATAGTACAAAATGAATTTCGCAATTTAATTCAATTCAATTGGCGCTAATGTGTTACTTTTTTGAAAATTTGGTCGGCCATCTTGAATTCTGCAAATTGATCGGATCCGTGATCAGCGACCACGAAAATTCCCGTATACCAAAGATTGACCGCAAAATCTGCCTGTTTTTGAGACTTTCAGTTTTTCGAAAGTCACCCTTATTTAGGGGTTGAGAAGACAAAAAAAGGGAACAAATTAAGAATCATCAACAGTTGTAAAACCCCAAATATTTCTATGTTGTTATCAAAATAATATTATGAACGTGAAAATTGGATTGAAAATCAACCCTTAATATCCCTAAAGGGGTGAAATCATCCCTTAAACACCTAAATATGCAAAAAATTTACAAAAAGTTACAATTTTTTTTTCTTTTTCTTTTATACCTGATAATTGAACCCACAATCACTAGAGAAGGAAAATACCTCTAAATTAGGGTAAAACCACCACAAAATTCAACCATATACGTATAAAAGAAAAGGAAAAAAAATTGTAACTTTTAATATATTTCTTGCATTTTTAGGCGTTTAGGGGATGATTTCACCCCTTTAGGGATATTATAGGTTGATTTTCAATCCGGACAAGACCGTATCAAATACGAAATTAGATATTTCACGTTCATAATATTATTTTGATAACATATAAATATTTGGAGTTTTACTGTTGATGATTCTTAATTTGGGTGATTTATAGAAAATTTTCGAAAAACTGAAACAGATGCTCATTTTCATTTTTCATAACGAGTATTTGGGGATGTTTTTAGAATATTTTTAGGATTTTCCCTGTCGACTTTGTCAGTCTCAAAAACAGGCGGAAAAATGGGTTTTTTGCGGTCACTCTTGCGAGAATCTGTTATTTTTTGAAAATTCGCGATATCTGACCTGTTTTTTTTTTTGAGGTTAGAAAAAGAACCATCCATTTGAATATAGAAAAAAATTGTTTGTATTTTTCCTAGCACTTTTTCGTGAATTTTTGCTATTTTTGACCTGTTTTTTAAGGTTAGGGAATTCCTGTGATGTGATAGCTCAATTCTGACACAAAAAATAATACGGACAACATATGTCGCATGAAAAGTACAGACAACTTTTTTTTGTGTGTGGCTGTGTTATTTATTATATATTATAGTAAAACGAACTGGTCAAAAATAAAAGTCTCTTGTTACCAGCAGGATGTGGATGAACAACAATTTTGTATAATGAAAGATTACTTGGTAACGAAAGCATTTATATTGTCTGATTTGTACTGTTCTACACTTATTGAGACCTTCTGGTAAATTAATCTCAAGTGGTAGATCAACGAAACCACTTAAAAAACGTCCCAGACATCCACAATTATAAAATTCCCTGAAAATCCCAGGACTCCTAGGTTTCNTTTTCTTTTATACCTGATAATTGAACCCACAATCACTAGAGAAGGAAAATACCCCTAAATTAGGGTAAAACCACCACAAAATTCAACCATATACGTATAAAAGAAAAGGAAAAAAAATGTAACTTTTAATATATTTCTTGCATTTTTAGGCGTTTAGGGGATGATTTCATCCCTTTAGGGATATTATGGGTTGATTTTCAATCCGGACAAGACCGTATCAAATACGAAATTAGATATTTCACGTTCATAATATTATTTTGATAACAACATATAAATATTTGGAGTTTTACTGTTGATAATTCTTAATTTGGGTGAAAATTTTCGAAAAACTGAAAGCAATGCTCATTTTCATTTCTCATGACGAGTATTTGGGGATATTTTTAGAATATTTTTAGGATTTTCCCTGTCGACTTTGTCAGTCTCAAAAACAGGCGGAAAAATGTTTTTTTTGCGGTCACTCTTTTGCGAGAATCTTTTATTTTTTGAAAATTCGCGATATCTGACCTTTTTTTTGAGGTTAGAAAAAGAACCATCCATTTGAATATAGAAAAAATTGTTTGTATTTTTCCTAGCACTTTTTCGTGAATTTTTGCTATTTTTGACCTGTTTTTTAAGGTTAGGGAATTCCTGTTATGTGATAGCTCAATTCTGACACAAAAAATAATACGGACAACATATGTCGCATGAAAAGTACAGACAACTTTTTTTTGTGTGTGGCTGTGTTATTTATTGTATATTATAGTAAAACGAACTGGTCAAAAATAAAAGTCTCTTGTTACCAGCAGGATGTGGATGAACAACAATTTTGTATAATGAAAGATTACTTGGTAACGAAAGCATTTATATTGTCTGATTTGTACTGTTCTACACTTATTGAGACCTTCTGGTAAATTAATCTCAAGTGGTAGATCAACGAAACCACTTAAAAAACGTCCCAGACATCCACAATTATAAAATTCCCTGAAAATCCCAGGACTCCTAGGTTTCCCTGACTGTCATACACCCCGTTTATATTGAAAATAAAAATAAAAAAATACAGGGTGCATTGAAGAGAAGAGTTACATCGTTTTTTATCGCTACTGCAATGTTTCGGCTGACTAACAAGTCGAAAACGCTATCGACAGGTGTGATTTTAATCTTTGCAAATATTTGCGCCATCCTAGAATTGGGTTGTTCATCGGATAAACTGATAACGGCATGCTCAGATAATCCCGGTCATAAATTTCTGAATACAATAATCGTAAATGCTATTCAAATGTATGGAACGAAATTTCGTTGAATCATAGAAAAATAATTACTGTCATCGAAAATGGAAAAAGATAAAAGGAAAGAATTTATTTGTATCATCCAATGTAATCCAATATTTGTCTTGGAATCAGTTAACATCCTTTCGGCTAAAATTTTAAAGAGCTTTTTAAAAAATTGTGCTTTACAAATAAATTTTAAATTGAGTTTCTTCTTCTTTAAACTCGATTCAAAATGGCGAACATGGTCAAAAAAATTCGCAAAGTTGCAAAAAACGGTTTTTTAAAAATAACTAAAAAAGTATAGCTCCTATCGAAAATTTTTAAACGAGAAAGTCGTTTTAAACAGATCTATCGACTGATTTTTAAGTATCGATTGCTTTGTTACTTTTCGAGATATATCGAAAAAACCGTTAAAAATCTTCTCTTTTCTCTTCTTCTATAACTCGTTTATATTTACGTTTCCGTATTTGCTATTTACTGTAAGTATAGTCCGCGGCAAGACAAAAAAGAACATTTTTGAAAAATTTAAAAATATTTATTTTTCAAGATATACTGATTTTTTGAAAAAAAGGCCCTGTCGAAAATTGACTAGATCTTCTCAGCGGATGGACCTACAGTAACGATTTTCGGCTTATTTTTTTCGTAAAGAGTTGTATTACCATGCTGTTAAATAATTCTAACGATTTTATTAATTTTAAGGATCAAAAAATTACAAACTTTAACTTTTAAAAAAATTGCACATTTTTCGAGCATGTTTTCAAACTATTTCAATTTTTATTTAATGAAAATTAGTTTTAAAGAAAAAAATTGCTGACATTTTTTCTGGAATTTAAAAAAATATATATTTTTCTGCAGAAATAACCATTTTATTTTTAAAAAAATCTAAAGGACGCAATTTACATTTTAAAACTGATGACGTGGATTTTAAATGTCCCGCGCTTGCAAAATCTTTGATATCTCGGCTTCTGGACTACGTATGAAAATCCTTTTGTACTTAATCTGGGGTAGCTTAAATTACGAATATTACAGTCATTTTCGCCTTAGAAGCAAAATAGACCCGGAAATATTTAATTTTTATTTAATTTACATTTTTTTTTT